GGCGGACCCTGACCCATAAGGGGTGGTAGGTCCAACCAGCTGAGCTCGCAGTCCATCGACTCACCCAGGCCAGAGCAGCAAAACTGCGGCGGTTGGTGACGCGGTCATCCTCCCTCCTCCTCCCGCCTCTCTTCGGGGTGGCGCTCGCTGGTGACGTTGGGGCTATCATGGCCGCCGCGAGGCCGGGAAGGTGAAGGTGAGAGGGCGAGCGAGCCGCGGTGATGGGGACCGGCCCGGCACAGCCTGATGAATCCTGAGCAACTCGGAGTGGGCCGGTGGAATGCTGGGCCCCCCGGGCTCTAAATCCAGGCCGGCAGGCGTCCCCACGCTCTGACCGCGACGCCAGGCCCTCCTGAGAGGAGAGGGCGGGACTCGGGCTGGGGAACCCCTGAGACTCGTCGCCCCCGCCTTCCCAGGCTTCACGGCCACATTTCACCCCCTGCCCTTTCTCTATTCCTTATCCAGTCCTTTATATTAGCCAGCATTTACTCTGTACATGATAAGGGACCACGTTCATCACCGTAGCGCCCTGCCCTGACGTCCGCCACGTTGGGCATTTATTACACTCTGGTACAGTCGTCTATTTACTTTTTTTGACTTCAAACAGGAGGGTAAGCTCCTTGAGAGCAGGAACTTTTTTTTTTTTTTTTGACTCATCCCTAACTCCAGCGCCTAGTGCACACTGAGAAGGCACATAAAATGCCAAATAATTAGCTGTTTGAATGCATGAAGCTAAAACTGCCTACTCCCCTCTCTTGTAGTCCTTCATTGCCCTATTTCTTTAATTTCTCTTATTTTCTCTCTTTTCCTCCTCCCAGAAAGGTCTCTTTATCGCCTTTCCCACCTCTTAGGCTGGAGTAAAGCTGCTCCACATAATTGAAAACAAGTGAGCTGTGGAGTCAGAGGGAGGTGATATCTCAGTTCTCAGCTTTGCCCCGTAACTAGTCCACAAATCTTTTAAGTATCCCAAGCCTCTCTTTGCACTAGAATTGAGAATTAAGATCTTTTACAGCATTTGGCACGCATAGGCTTTCAGTAAATTCCACTTCTCTTCCTCATCCCTATCCTCCCATCTGTAGTCCTTAATTCCATAGTTCCGAAACCCAGTCCTTGCCTGCTCCGTCCTCTCACCCCTCTGGATTTGCCTTACCGGGTCCCCTCTTTCTTACCAGCACATGACTGACCAGCACGTGACTGAACACGTGTTTGTGCACACCCAGGATTGGCCTCACACCTGTGTTCTGTTTTTATCCAGGGCACTTCCCATATCAGTCTGAACCTCAATGAGTAAGCTTCCCTCAGGGATGAGTTTGTTTGGCTTTATACTTGATTAGACATGTTTTGCACACCGATTTTTTTTTTTTGTTTTTGGCTGCCTGTTGACATGTTCCTTTTTCTTTCCAAAGTTGGAATTGGTGGAGTCAGCACAATCAGTAGCCAACCTCAACCTGAGACAGGACAGAAGAGAGAACTCAAAATCTTTTCATCTTTTTGCCTCCAGCGATGTCCATGATGCCCACCCTGTGAAGGTCTCTCACCATCCAAAAAGTAAGTGGTGGCTGTGGCATCTGGCACTCTGGATCTGGGTTGAGTGGAAAGGAGTGTGCTCTGTTAACCATCCAGCGGCAAGTCTCTTGGACGGGGTCATCTTTGCACAGAGCTGGAGTTTTCCAACCTGTGTTAAAAAAAACTATCTCTTTCCTATTTCCATGGATGATTTCACTGGAGAGAGCCTGCTTAAAGGTTGACAGTTCAGAAAGTAGCTGGGATCTCTGGGCTCCCTGAAGAATTCATCTCTGTCTCCCTTGTCTGTTCTCTGTTTTGCTGGCTCCACCCTCCCGCTCTCTGCCCAGCAGAGATTGGCTCATTATCAGCTCTTCCAAGAGTCTGCTCTGTCCCCTTTACCCTGTATACTCTTTTGTTTCAATTTCTCAGCCTCTCTGTTCCAGTTGTGCCAGCAGACGATCCGTGGATTCATTTTATTTTCCGTGCTAGGAGTTGCTCTGCATAAACCCGGGTAAGGAGGTGGTGTGGATTCAGGGACTGTGCTTGGGATCCAAACACCTTGCAGTGAATTTTGCTACTGCTCTCCCTATACCCAAGACACCTTATACTCCTCAACTAATAGCCTGGGTTGATGCAAAGCTTTTCATTACCTTGGGGTGCTAATAGTTTCAGTTTAGCATTGGGTTTGGTTCTGGTCTGAGGTTAATATCTATTATTACTGTGTCCGCAGCAATTTTTTTGGGTTGAAATGGGAGCCTACCAGGATGAATGAGGCTTTTCTCAACATGTGATCCTCAGGATTATAAAAACTTAGAAGAGTTTCTTCAGAGAAGTTTGTGAAAGGCTGCATTAAGTACAGTGAAATTAGTGTCTTTGCAACAGGCCTTGCTTCCCCAAGCCTTTACTGTGCCCAAATGGAGAGGGATTATAGCATACAGTGTTTTAAAAATTGATTTTACATGTAAAACTGGGTGTACTGGAGGGCTATGGACCACACTTTGGGAAATACTGCCATAACTGTCTGCAACCATGACTTTCAAGAGTACGTTGCAGCACTCAGCTCAAAACATGCCACTTAGTGTACTGCTGATATTGGAGCTGGACTCTGGCCCAACTATGTCTGGGCGACCCGCCCCACATGCCTGCGGTGAACCTTGCGGTAAAGTAGGGACTATCAGGGTTTTCCAGAAGAAGGACAGGAACCCAGCTGCCTCCCACCACTCTGGAAGGCTAGGAAGCCAGCAGGCGAAGCCCCAAGATAGTGAGGGCCTTATCTTGGCTTGTGTGCGTGTATTTTGCAACTTTGGTCCATTTACGCACCAAGCACCTCCAGCTTGCTCTTTGGAAGGATTAAATCCTGGAATCTGAAAAGGTTTGTTCAATTCTTGACTCACTGAGCTCCAAATATCAAAAGAGAAGCTTAGTCAAAAGCTGCTTTTCAAGAAAGAAGTAGATTATTCCAGGGATGGAAGGGTAAGAAGGTACTCTTCCCTTAAGAGGCATTTACTAACTCAAACCATGTCTCACATTTGTGGAGGAGGAAAGTAGAAATGGAAATAGGTCACTGCTCTCTGTCAGAGACTGGCTTTCTAGAAGCTCATAGACTAGACAAGGAGACAGAGTGCAGTAAAAAAGAAAAAGAACACAAAGTCTGGTAAGGTTGTATGTCCACCACGGAGACATCAGGGAAAGCTTCATGGAGGGGGCGACGCTAGAGTTGGGTCTAGAATGACAGTAGGAGTCAAATGGGAAAAAGGAAAGAATTCCAGACTGAAAGCAGCATGTATAGCACAATCATGAAATCTCAGCTTGGGAATTAACAGAGCCAAAGAAATCACAGAAGTTGGAGGCGTTGGGGGTTCTGTGTGAGAGGTTCCATGTGAGAGGTTTGGGGCATGCAGCTGCACGTTGGGGAATAGTGAGAGCAGGTCAGCTCCTGGATAAGCGGAAGCCTCAGTAATGTTGAACCACTAAGCTTTGACTCGTGTGCATGCCTTCGAATCTTGCATTTACTGAACGCTAACGCTTTTGGTTTCATATGCTTGGGCTTGCAAACAATGACCAGAACTTGAGAGCACTTGCTTCTAAAAGCCCAGCTGATCTCAGGGAAATTTGCTGCTTTCAAGCAAGTCACTTCTGGGACCGGGCAGACCTGTCTACTCCATCCTCGTGGCAGCGGGTGGGGGAGTTTGTGGGTGTGTTGGTGGAGACTGGGTGTTATGATCTCGCTGGTGGAGTTTGTTGTCGCTTTATAATACCTAAAACTACCTTCGAGTTTGTACTGTGTCATCCCCAGTCTTCTCACGGTCCATGTGGTATCATGTTTGTTGTCCATACGAGGAAACCAAGGCTGTGCCGTTAAGTAACTTACTCAAGCTTATACAGCCCAGGAATAGTACAGGCACTTTTTGAACCCAGCTCTGTCTCCTTCCAGAATCTTGTCATCTACAAAACTACATCATGCCCCATCTCAGACCCCTTTTCTCCTTTTGGTGGCTCTCCTCTTCTGCTTGCGTGCATCCACTGCTTCTCTAAGAGTGTTGGGCCACTGTAAGCTTGATTTCAGTGCATTCTTCTGCTTTGGAGGAGCCAGTGTCCCTTCTTCTCAGTGTCCCTTCTCAGAGCTCTGCTGTCTTTCTTATTTAAGTCCTTGACGCGTGGCCTCCCTGGTAAGAAAATTTCACTCACAGTTACGGCATTTTACTGAGGAGGAAGGTAGAAATGGACGCATAGTCACTTCGTTCTTTTATCTCCCCAGATATCATTAACATTGCAAAATAATTTGTGGGTCTAGGCAAAACATGTGGGTTCTCATTTCCCTGTGAGTCTCTCTGTCTTTCTGTCTACTCTTTGGGATGGTTAGTTTCTAAGAGCAAGTTTTGAATTATTATGCAAAGTTTACTTTTTCTAGATGTTCTTTCTGCTTCTCAGGAATTTGTTCAATACCTTTTGCCACGCTTTTAAAAGTTTCTCATACATGCTTACTCATGAGCCACGCCTTCTCCTTTCCCAGATGGAGAGAGCTTGGTGGGGTGGAGAGCTGATGATGCTGTGATTAGGGCTGCCTGAGAGGGATTGGCAGACAGGAATTTGCTGGGTGTTGGGGAGGGTGGAGCTTGGCGCAGGCACACTGCACCTCATTCTTGGAGGGGCCTTTTTCCTTTGACTTCCCAGGATCTGAGGGCTCTGCTGGGAAAGTAGCTCTGCGCATGGTATCTCTCCGAGGCGTGGTACACTTCTGGGACCAGAGATTCTCAGCCACATTTGAGTGTCACCTTCTCCAGTATCTCTCTGCCCCTTTTGACTTTGACCAAAAGATCTCAAGGACTTTGGAGTCAAGTCTCACGCCCCCTAACATGTTCTTGCTATGTGAAAAAAAATAGGGTACAAAAGTGTGTGTGTGACTGAGAGCAAGAGGCCTACCCACACAGAAATGGGCTGTGATGGCCAATGTTAACTGCTTGTCATGAGATGGTGATGTCAGCGCAAGAACTTATAAACTTATAGAAAAATTTTACAAGTTTGTGAGAGTTTATTTGAGCCAAACTGAGGCCGTGCCTGGAAGTAAGACTGAGAACATGCTGCCTGAGAACGTGCTGTGGAGAGTGGCAGTTTTGCAATGCTATCTATGCATTTGGAATCAAGAGGGAACATGAGGGCGATTATGTGAAATCCAGTGATGGTAGATTAAAGAGGCAGAGAAAACAAAGCCGGGAAATTTCTGATAAAAAGTAAAATGGAGAGATACGTGCTTTAACATTGGTGAATACAGAATAGTGAATGCAGATAGAACATGGACAAGATCATGTACCATCAAGAGGGTGGTTATGCCTGCTGAGGGTCTGGAAAAGGATTACTCTGGCATCTCAAAGGCACCTTAACATAGTTGCCCGAGAACAAAAGGTTAAGGCAAAGATTAACCTTTTACTAAGGAATTTATAGGTCTGAGGCGTGACTGCCCATCTTGACCTGCCCAGTTAGGAATTTATCATCAGATTGTCTTGTGAGCTTACTCGCAGTCACTGAGCTTGTCAGTTATTACACATTCCCTTTTTTATTCACAGTGGGCTTATGGATTTTTTTGTTTTTTACCTTTAGTTTCCACATTTTCTGCAGTGCGTACATTGATGATGAGAGAGACCAATAAATATTTTTAAGTAAATTGTAGACTACTTGAGAATCATCCCCCCATGCACACAAATTTGGAAACCAAAACCTGTTAGAAATTAGGGCCTTTGGGACCTGGACATCAGAGCAGCCATTGGAGGGTGTTGGGAGTCACTGATCTTGAGTGTCACCTGGCTTTTCACTGTTTTTAATATTTAGCGCTTTTTCTCAGGCAGGCGATAGGACATGAGATTTATGTTATGCTTTTCTGCCTCAGACACAACGGAGGGCTTCTCTGTATGTTACCTCGTGATTCTTCCCCCTCTCCAAGGTGGGGAAGGGAGGGCCTGTCACAGGCCCTCCAGCGCTAGGCCTGACCTTGGAGCCCTGCCTGGCTCCAGGGTCTGAATGCCTATGCTGTGACAAGGAGATTGGCCCAAGTGTCCTGAGAGGTCTTTTCCTGCTCTTGAGATACTGGTTCTTATTTCATGGCCCCTGATCTAGTCCTGGAGGGCCCCCTGTTCTCGATAGACCAGAAGGCTGGTCCCAGTTCCCCCCGCTGCACCCTGCCATATCCCTAGCAGAATGTCCTGAGCTTGGTGTTTCTGGGTTCACTTATGCTGTCTTCTCTTGCAGCGCAATGTCACTGTTCTTCTCTCGATGCAACTCCGTTGTCACAGTCAAGAAAGATAAGAGACACATGGCTGAGGTGAATGCTTCCCCACTCAAGCACTTTGTCACTGCCAAGAAGAAGATCAATGGCATTTTTGAGCAGCTGGGGGCCTATATCCAAGAGAGCGCCACCTTCCTCGAAGGTGAGTTAGGCAACCTGCTGAGCCAGGTCAACTCCTGTCACTTTTGGTATTTACGTGGCAGGATATGAGGGTACACAGATACAGCCCTGCTCTTGGGGAGCTCATACTCAGATGGGTTGTTACCTTCAGCAGTGCTCTGCTCTTGGAATCATGTGGAGTTGGGCTCCAGGGAGATTCACCAGGAAAACAAGGGACCTGTCATTTAAGAATTCTGTGCATTTCATTTCTTTTAATCTCGGGGGGTAGGTGAATCTTACCCCCATCTAAAAGACAAGCAAATTGAGGTTTTAAGAGTTGTTCGATACTTTGTAAGTGACACAGGGGTATTTTACCCAGATGTCTCTGACTTCAGAGCCCAGGTGTTTTCCTTGGCCTGGTTCTGGCTGCTTTAATACTGGGCCCTGTCTGACTGTTGGTTGTTCCTGACCAGGGTGTCCTCGCTCTGATATTTTTAGACAGGACTATGAATAGGAAACTTGCATCACCGGCACCTTTTCCATTAGTTACTAATTTCAGCCCAACCTGTTGTCCCTGCTCTATAAGCAGAGAAGGACTGGTCCCCTGGGTCTTACTCGGTCTGAGTGCTAGCTTCAGCCACTGGCTTTCTCAGGCTCCCTCTCTAGAGGGCACACCCTGGCTCCAGGTCCTGGGATCGTCAGGAAAGAACCAGTAGCTGAGTCTCATCTGCCCTTCGTTTCCTCATTTATGAACGAGAGGCTCAGGCGAGACCAGGCGTTTTCAAATTCTAGTCTGCAGAACCCTAGAAGTACAGCGGAAATGCTCTGGGGGCACACCCCTCTCCTTGCTCTGCTTTCCACTAGAGTGGCTTGGCTTCTGGTTGGTTTACATGTCATACTGCTACTTAAAAGGAGAGGAATATGTCCAGTACTATGGTCTGAACGTCTTTGTCCCCACAAATTTACATGGTGGAACCCTAAGGCCCAATGTACCGATGTTGGGGGCGGGGCCTCTGGGAGGTGATTAGGTGATGAGGGTGGCGCCCTCATGGATGAGATTTATGTTCTTATAAAAGAGACCCCATGAAGCACTCTAGCCCCCTTCCACCAGCTGAGGATACAACGAGACATCTGTGAACTGGAAGAGGGCCCTCACCCAGCCAGGCTAGCACCACGATCCGAGACTTCCAGCCACCAGAGCTGTGAGCAGTACGTTTCTATTGTGTGTAAATCACCCAGTCTGCATACTTTGTTATAACAGCCTGGACAGACTAAGGCTAAGAAATGACTGGCCATGCCCTGCCTTTAGCACAGTGCTTGGTGGAAGAGAAGGTATTCCCTAAATATTTGTTAAATTTAAAAACCCCGATTTTAAAGGTATGAGATAGGTGGTTGAAATTATTCCAGTTCATTACTCACTCATTTAGCAGTAGCTCTGGTGTGCCTGGCACTGGGCTTACAGGGACAGGGCAGACCAGGCCACTGTCCTCTCTGAACCCACACTAATCCTCTGAGTCACTTACACAGATAGTGCTGTAGACAGACATGTACGTAATGAAGGTGTTTATGTGATGGCATCTGGAATGGGTGTTTTGATTTCTCTTTTTGTGAAAGTATGAGGCCTCTGCTATTGGGATGGAAGAGAAAGAGCTGGAAGGTTGATGTGTTTGGGATCGCCCTGGTATAGGGGGTGCGGGGTAGTTACTGCCTCGGGACTGAGACTGTGTTGGCCTGCTGGCTGTTTCTTTTAAATGTAGCCAGCCACGCACTTGAGAGCCAGCTTTCTCTGAAGTGCATTCCAAAGGTGAACCCCGCATGCCTATCTAAGGGAGGAATGTTGATGGGTCTGAGGCAGGGTGACCGTGGACATGGCGAGGCCTTGTTGGTTTAGTCACTTCCTGTCATGGCACCAGCTGTAAAGGAAACTCACTGGGCAGTCCCTGAAGTGTCACTTGTTGTGCTCCGGTTGCTGTGGGAATGTTCTCAGGGCGGGGCCTGTCAGCCCAGTGGTTCATAAGTGTCTTAGTCTGTTTGGGCTGCTATAATAGAAGTACCACAGACTGGTGGCTTGTAAACAACAGAAACTTCTTTCTCACAGTTCTGGAGGCTGGGAATAAGGTCAAGGCATCAGTGGGCTTGGTGTCTGGTAAGGGCTGACTGCCTAGACTGCTGTCTTTGCTCTAACCTGACATGTAACCACATGGCGGAAGGGGCCGGCTAGCTCTCCCAGGTCTCTTTTATAAAGGTACTAATCCCAATCATGAAGACTCCGCCATCATGACCTCCCGAAGGCCCTACCTCCGTATGTCACCATACCATGTACATCACGTGGAGGGATAGAAGCATTTAGTCCATTGTAGCAAGAGTGTGCTGAGGGGCCAAACTCCTATCTACCCTCCAGCCAGCTGCTGCACCTTCCTCGTGCAGGTACTAGATGGGACAGGGGCAAGATCTTGCTCAGTTGCTCCCATCTGTCATAATTTGTTTACCGTATGCCTATCAAGGGCACTGGGAAAAAAAACAATGCAGTCATCCCAGTGTCTTCACTTAGCAAAACTTGGTGCTCCTGCTGAGCGCTGGGTGCTGGGATCAGACAGTTTGGCCCTCACATGGTAGATGATGCAGACAGATAAGCTAGACAGTTACAGTTTGGGTAGGTAAGTGCTGAAATTGAGATGGGAGAAGTACAGGGTGCTTTTGGGAACACGGCCAAGGGGACCTGAATCAAGTTTGGGGAGTGCGGGGGAGATCACAAAGGCTTCCTTGGTGCTATGCAGTCCACACTAGACCTGAGGCTAAGTGGGAATGAGCCAGAGGGCCCCAAGGCTGAGCATTCGTTCTCCAGAGTGGGGGCCGTGGGCAGCATTGAGCAAAAAGCCCAGAGTAATGAGGCAGCACGGCAACCGTGGGAATGTGGAGAGGTGGAATGTGAGGCAGCAGGATGGCAAGAGGCCTGCTGGAGTAGGCGGCAGGACCAGGTCAGAAAGGGCTGCAGGAAGATGCACAGGGGCTCCGGAGCCAGACTGCCTGGTCCGTTTCCTGGCTCCGCCATTTACTAACTCTGTCTGGTAAATGACACCGTGTTTGAAAAGTGATCAGCGCCTGGCATGTAGTGAGAATTTTGTTAAGTAAAAAACATAAAAGTAAATGATGGCAGTTAATATTCGCATATTCGTCATGCAGCAGCCACCATTTTTAGCACTTTTGTTTTAATTCATTTAATCTTTGCGGTAGTTACATGAGGTAGGTACCGTTATCTCCATTTTAAGGGTGAAGAAAGTAAGACCCAGAAAGGTTCATTTGCCTGAAGTTACAAAGCTAGAATGGGGTGGGAACTGGCATTCTGGAACCCAGGTTGTCGTTCTCTTTTGAGAGTCATGTCCTTGACTGCTGCACTTCTGCCCCACAGCTGAGAGTCTGGACTGACGGGATCCTTGGTGGTGAACTCTGTCCCTTCCAGACCTGTGACTGGAACTCCTTAGACCAGATATTGACCTATTTCAATCTCCATCTCCAGACACCTACAGGAATGCAGAACTGGACCCTGTTACAACAGAAGAACAGGTTCTGGACGTCAAAGGTTACCTGTCCAAAGTAAGAGGCATCAGTGAGGTGCTGGCCCGGCGGCACATGAAAGTAGCCTTTTTTGGCCGGTGAGTCATCGAAGCTCTCGCATCTTCTTTCTTCTTGACTGGGCATGAGAAAAGCGGGGAGGAAGGCACTTGGTGTAGGTGACAGTCTGAGCACCCCAAGGTGCTCCTCTTTTTAAATTTTTACTTTTAGTCCAGGGACCTCGTATAAGTGGAGTTATACAGTATTTGTCTTTTTGTGATTGGCTTATTTCACTTAGCATCATGTCCTCAAGGTTCAGTAGCGTGCGTGAGAATCCCCTTCCTTTTTAAGGCTGAGTAATACTCCAATGTGTGTATCTACTACATCTTGTTTATCCATTCATCCATGATGGACACTTGAGTCGCCTCCACTTTTTGGTTATTGTGAATAGTGCTGCTGCGAATATGGGTGTGCAAATATCTTTTTGAGGCCCTACTTTCAGTTATTTTGGGTCTATACCTAGAAGTGGAATTGCTGGATCATATGGTAATTCTGTTTTTAATTTTTGAGAAACCACTATATTTTCCACAGTGACTGCACCAGTCCATATCCCCACCAGCAGTGTGCTGGGTTCCAGTTTCTCCACACCCTCTCAACGCTTGTTTTTTGTAGCTATTCTGATGGTTGTGAGGTGGTGCCTCATTGTAGTTTCGTTTCCTGTTTCCCTAATGATAGTGATGATGAGCATCTTGTGCTGGTTGGAGATGTCTTTTTAAGTCCTTTCCCCATTTTTAAATAGGATTGTTTGGTTTTTCTGTTGTTCAGTTGTAGTTCTTTATATATTCTGGATACTTACCCCTTATGAGATAACACGATTCGTAAATATTTTCTCTCATTTTTTGGATTGCCTTTTTACTCTGATGACTGTGTTCTTTAAAACAGAAGTTTTTAATTTTGACACAGCCCAGTTTATCTATTTAGACCTTCGTTGCCTATACTTCTTGGTGTCATATCCAAGAAATTGCCAAATCCAGTGTCGTAAAGCATTCCCCTTTTTTCTTCTAAGAGTTTTACGGTTTTAGCCATTAGATCTCCTTGTTACACTTCGAGGTTCTGTAGGCCTCTCTGGAGTGTTTTTCATGCCACTTAGCAGTTCTCCAGTTCTCAGCAGACACTGACAGGTGTCCTGCAAATTCCACTCAGTTCTGACACTGTCTACCTGAGCATAGAGTCCGATCCCAAGGTAAAGGACTCAGTCCCACAACACTGCCTCCACTTTAGATGCCGTTTGGAAACCTGTGCTTCTGACAAACTGGCTACAAATCGGAGGCTCCCAGGACCCCCTCCTCAAGTTTGATTAATTTGCTAGAGCGGCTCACATAGCTCAGGGAGGCATTTACTTTCGCTTACCGGTTCATTGTAAAGGGCATTGCTATACAAGACACACATGAACTGCCAGGTGCAGAGGTGCACGGGGCGAACTTGGGGGAGGTCCTGAGTGCAGGAGCTCCTGTCTCAGGGAATGGGATGCATCCTCTCCAGGCGTGTGGATGCCTTCTTCACTCCTGAAACTCCTCAGATCTCGTTGGTCAAGTTTTTATGGGGCTTAATTTGCAGCCTTCTCCTTCCTCTTCCCAGAGATTGGTGGGTGGGGCCGAAGGCCCCCACTCTCTAATCACTTGATCTTTTTGGTGCCCAGCCCACCATGAGACTATCCAGGGAGCCCACCGTGGGTCACCTTATTAGCATAAACAGGTTTGCTCAAATGGGGCTCCTTGTGAATGACAAAACATTCCCATCATTCAGGAAATTCCAAGGGTTTTAGGAGCTCTGTGCCAGGAACTAGGGACAAGGACCAAATATACCACAACATCTTAATAAAATCCCATTCGTGGGGAAAAAAGGCATCCAGACAGGTTGGGTGTGGCACACAGTTGTAGCCTGAGGAGTCGTGCCTCTGGTGACCTTAGGTGTGGCCCTCTGCTCCTCTGAGCTGTCATTTCTTTATCTTCACCTCAGAGGTATGGTCCTCACCACCGCTGAGCTAGTGGCCAGAGCAGGTGAGTCTGCTGGATAGAGCTGTTTTCAGGCACCAGAATGGAGAAAGCGGGCACAGTAGGCAGAAGTGCTACTGTCTCTGTAGTTGCCAGTTACCAGCTGAGACGGACGAAATGGGGCTTCATGTACAAGGTGGAGCATGATGGGAGAAGAGCAGCAAAATAGGCCTTTTGTGGGAACCAGGGAAACAAGGGTCATTCAGTTGAGGTCACTTAGACTGAGGATGACACCCCTGGGGGTGTCAGTGGTTTAAAGTAGAAGGAGTGAGTCTCCTTCAGGGGCTTTCCATAAGTGATGCTGTGAGGCTTACGGCTGGTGGCAGGCCCATTTAAAGACAGATTAAGTGTCAGTGTACGGGCACTGCACTGTGTGAGCCCCTTGCAAGTTGGTTTATACTGAGAACCAGGAGCACATCACATGCCCAGGCCAGAGGTGTTTGTCCACCCATTTTCATAAACTCAGAGCACCCAGTCTGCCTGTCTGGGCACTGGTGTCACTGTCGAGAACAAGACTTTGGACTGCTAGGCTGGTAACTTGGTTGTGAAAGCCCTAAATGCAGATTTTGGTGATGTCACTGACAGCTGACATTTCCTCATAGGACAAGCAATGGGAAGAGCACCGTGATCAATGCCATGCTCTGGGACAAAGTTCTGCCCTCTGGGATTGGCCATACCACCAATTGCTTCCTGCGGGTAGAGGGCACAGATGGCCACGAGGCCTTCCTCCTCACGGAGGGCTCAGAGGAGAAGAGAAGCATCAAGGTGAGGGTGCTGTGGCAGGGACCGTGGTGGGACCATGCAGGGTGCAGCGTGCTGGCCGGCCTTTCAGTCTTGGGCACCAGTGTGTCCATTGTGGGAGGACTAATGGCCCCTCTCAAGAGAGGGCAGTGCCTGGTGGCGGATGTGGGAAGCCTTATTCCAGCCTAACTGTCGAGGAGGAGGTTCAAAACCCGGAGCACCGGGAGTCAGGAGTGCTCAGTCCCTTGTGTACTGCCAGGTAGGCCGTCTGACTCTTCTCTTTGCAGTAAAGAGAGTACGTGCCTTGTTCTTTTTGGGGCTGTTGCCGGAGACGATGCCTGCATCTGCTCTGCGGTTCTGGCAGCAGCTGGGGCCTGCATATATACCTTTCTGAGAGCCAGTCGCATTCTTGTTTGGGGCCAGTTGCTCATTTTGGTTCACAGAAAAGAAGAGTGAAGAGTAGTTGGTTGTTATTGGCAACTCCCAGCTCTCGATTTTTTATGTGCTAAATGGAGGAAAAGGAATAGCAGATTGGGCAGCAGTCTCAGGCCACTGCGCCATGCCAGGCAGCACAGGAACTCTGGCTGGTGACTCGTCCTCAGCCCTGAGCTTTCTTTCCCTCCTCCCCAGACTGTGAACCAGCTGGCCCATGCCCTCCACCAGGATGAGCAGCTGCATGCCGGCAGCCTGGTGAGTGTGATGTGGCCCAACTCCAAGTGCCCACTGCTGAAGGATGACCTCGTGCTGATGGACAGGTAAGAGGAAAAGTGCCCCTTTAGGAGGTCCAAAGAGAGAGGGCACCGAGTGTTCCATTTCTGGATCATCCAGGCCAGCATTCCCTGGGTCCTGTGGTTGCTCTGTGTATGTGTTACTGCTTTTGGTGAAGCTGCCTTCACCGAATAATGGATTTCCTGCCTCTCGGATTTACTCCAGGCCCTGGTTGCTGTACTCATCGGCATCAGTGCCCTGAAGATGTCCCAGTGATGGTCTGTAAAGAGGGATAGGAGGGGTGGTTAAAGCCTCAACTTAACGTTGGTATGTGTGTGAGGGTGGGGTCCGCATTGTGCTTTATTTCTGCAGAAAGAGCACTTTATTTTGCTCCTGCTTTGTGGACAAGTTACAACTATACCAAGAAATATGGTACTGTAGTGATTATTGGATTCACATTATATAAAACTTCACCTCAATGGTTTGTCCTAAGTAAAATTATAAACCATTGTTTTTTTATGAAAGCAGTAGATGCATGTGGCAGAAAATACATTTTCACATAATCTGGAATATTATGAAATGATAAGTAAAAATCCCTCTAATAGGGATGAATTCTCTCCTCTGTGGCTGTCTCCTCCCTTGCCTGCCTGCCGCAGATCTGTCAAAGCAGGGAGAATAGGATCCATGGTCTGTGTGCCTGATGTTGGTTTACTCCTGTCACCTCTAGCCCTGGTATTGATGTCACCACAGAGCTGGACAGTTGGATTGACAAATTTTGCCTGGACGCTGATGTGTTCGTGCTGGTGGCCAACTCGGAGTCGACGCTGATGCAGACGGTAACCCCTCCTCCACCTGCTCCTGCCCTCCCAGGGCCTCGGCTGGCTCTGCCCCTCCTCCACTGAGGTCTTTACTCTCGTCCAGGAAAAGCAATTCTTCCACAAGGTGAGCGAGCGCCTGTCCCGCCCCAACATCTTCATCTTGAACAACCGCTGGGATGCATCTGCCTCGGAGCCTGAGTACATGGAGGAGGTCAGTGCCTCTTTATTCAGCAGTTTGGGGACCATCACCCCGTGTATCTACCTAGGATACCTTTGTGCACAGCCAGGCCTCTAGCTCTGACTGCTGAAGGAATTTCATCACCAAAGATTTCCTGGGGTCGCTGTGGGGTCTTCTGTAGCTTTAAATACACTCCCTTCACTTCTTTCATTCACTTTCCTGGATCCCTCCACGCCAGAAGTTTTCATCCAGGTCCAAAAAGCATCCCCATGACATGAGCTGCATCCTTGTTTGGGGCCAGTGCTCAGTTCAGTTCTTAAAAAATCAATCATCATAGAACAGGCTCAGCTTAGGAAGACATCTAAGCAGCTTAAAAGAGGAATGAAGAATAATTGGTTCATGCATGAAATGAAAGAAAAAGGAGTAACAGATTGGTAATGTGAGATGATGAAGTGTGCAGTCAGCCAGGCTAACATTGAGCAGTGTGACTTTGCTAAATTCCTTAACTCTTCTAGTTATAGTTATAGAGAGTTCATCCTTGCTATAACTATTACATCCATCTCACCAGTAAATTCTTCACTGGTGAGATGGATGTAATAGTTATAGCGAGGATGAACTCTCTTAACATTGAGAAAAGTGCCTGGCATGTGGCAGGTGTGCCCACAAGAGGCTGTTACCATTTTTAAATTCTAGCAGTAGAACCCTAAGACTTTAGCACTAGACAGGATTGGGTGGTGGTACCAGCCATTTCTTAAGCAAGGTCCTGGAGGACTCGGCTTGTCAGCATAGAGCTCAGCTTTAGGTTTCTCAACCCCCCAGTTCCTTTCTTTCTGGGGCACCAAAGTGACACTGTGTAGGCTCTAACAAGAGGCAGTTTGGGACATGTTTTAGCATTAAAGCTTACATATGCGTAAAATATCTTTGGTAGGCCATACCCCAAGAAACTCTCACGACCGTATTAGTTCTGAGGAGTTTGGTATCTAGAGAACAGAGGTGGTGAGCGATGGTTCACTGTGTGTGTTTGTACCTTTTGAATCCTGAACTGTGTGACTATATTGCCTGTTTTTTGGAAAAGAGATAGTTGGGGGCTGTCGGCTCCCATCGGCCCACCCGCTCCACCTGGTCACATACACCCATCTGCTTGGGCTCCAGGTGAGGCGGCAGCACATGGAGCGTTGTACCAGCTTCCTGGTGGATGAGCTGGGCGTGGTGGATCGAAGCCAGGCTGGAGACCGCATCTTTTTTGTGTCTGCCAAGGAGGCGCTTAACGCCAGGATCCAGAAGGCCCAGGGCATGCCCGAAGGAGGTAACGATGGAACAAATTTCCTCCTTTCCCTGGTGTTTGAGACGTTTGGGCTTGCGTAAGTCAGCCGGTAGAAAGTAGTTCTGAGACTGAGGTGGTGAGAAGAGCCTCGAGTGAGGAGCTCTTTGCCTCGTGGCCAGAGTTTAGCCAAGTGTCCAGTCGGCTTGGCTTTATGAGTTTTCACCATTTTCCTCTGCGGCCAAGTGATTTCTGGGCTAATGCTGTGCATTTCTCCTAGGGGGCGCTCTTGCAGAAGGCTTTCAAGTGAGGATGCTTGAGTTTCAGAATTTTGAGAGGAGATTTGAGGTAAGTCCCTTGATTCTGGTATCTGGTGATTCTGGGCCTCCTCACCTGTCACAGGCCATGTCCCTTGTTAGTAAAAGCCAGAGCCTGGTCCTTGGCTGGTGGCCTCCCTCAGCAACCACCTCTTACCTGTTCAAGGAGTGCATCTCCCAGTCTGCGGTAAAGACCAAATTTGAGCAGCACACCGTCCGGGCCAAGCAGATCGCAGAGGCAGTCCGCCTCATCATGGACTCTCTGCACATCGCGGCTCAGGAGCAGCGGTAAGAACCTGGGATCTCGGACAGGTGTGGGGCAGCGCTGGGAGATGGTCTCACTCCCTGCCTGGAGAAGAGGCCCCAGGGTTCAGAGTCACTCTGCCTGCTCCTTAGAGACAACCATGATCACGAGTTTGGTGTGTAGTCCTACCCTTTTTACATAAATCCTGAAGAACGTGCAGTGTTGCTTTGTGTGCGCTTTACATGTGCAGATACGGCATTGCGCTGTGTTCCGGCACCAGACTCTTCTTTCCACTCAGCGTCGTTCTTGCCCTCGTCCTTGCTGATGTATGTTTATGACTATTAACTAGTCGAGTATTCCGTTGTGACCAGACCTCATTTTCCCACTGATTTTCAGATTTCATTTTTTATCTATAGCAAACCCTCCTGCAGTGGATACCAGTTCACGTGTCTCCTCCCACACATTTGTACGAGTCTTTCTGGGATTAATTCCTGGAGGTGGGATTGTCCCATTTTAGGGTACATGCATTTTCAGTGTTATCTAGTGTTCTTTGTTGCTTTCTGAAACATCTAAACCCATCCATGGTCCCCGCAGCAGCGCGTGCTGGGACTCCCATTTCCCCAGCTCTCACCGGCGCTTGACACTTGGTGATTTTTGCCAGGCTTCCTTTTTTCCCCCCTCAGCTTGGTGGTTTCCTCTGTTGATGTGCTTCCTACCTTCCCCCCACAGTTTCAGTCCCTTTCATCTACCCCAAAACAAAGGTAGTGAGAGGAGAGGATTGTTGGGGTTCTGAGCTCCTTTCGTAGTTAGGGAACAGAAACCAAAACAATCTCTGGATGAGACAGTCAAGAAGTCGATAGAAAGGAAGGCGAAGAAAGGAGAAGGGGGAGTTACTAGAGGCTGGACACACCCACCCCATTAACTCTCCTGGAGAAGAGCCGCAGACACCCGGAAGTCCAGGTCCTGAAGGGAGGAGATCAGGGAAGGAGGCCACCTCTTGCTTTGTAGAGTGCGGACCCCGCCCCCCCCCCGCCCCCACTGCAGGAGCAGCAACTTCACAGACCAGGGCCGCTTTCATCATGGTGTGCAATGTACAGAAGGAAGCCCTCTTCACGGGGTTCCTGGCATAGCTGACCCCTCAGGCACTTTTGCCAGGCTTCTTGGTAGAGAGTATGATCTCTTTCATTTCCCTGATCACTAGTGACGTTGAGCATTTTTTTTATGTTAATTGGTAAAATTTGTTCTAAACCCCTGAAGTCACCCTCCCTGCAGTCCACCCTCCCTGAGGTCACCCTCACATCTTCCAAACGGGAGACCTAAGAGTGAGTGGTGTGCGCCATCTCTCCCTCATCCCTGGGAGGGGAGGAGCATACCTCTGCGTGTGTGCATGAAACTGCCAAGGCCTCCTGGCCTTGCCATGGCCAGGATCAGAGCTGGGGCCCCACAGGCCTGGCGCCACCCCCTCTTGCTGCCCTGCTTAGTCCAGCGGGGATCTAGGTCTTATGAGCAGCACCTTCTCTCAGGGTTTACTGCCTGGAGACGCGTGAAGAACGGCAAGAGAGGCTGAGATTTATCGATAAACAGCTGGAGCTCTTGGCGCAAGATTACAAACTGCGAATTAAGCAGATTACGGAAGAAGTCGAAAGGCAGGTGAGAGACGGGGAGGAGGCGCTCTGGGGAGATTCGGACTCAGTAGAGTCCAGGGTGCTGGCAAAATGAAAAAGCAGACCTCATCTCAGGGGGCTTCTCAGCCTTCCAGGGGGAAACCGGGGCCCTGACGTAAGAATGCAGAGTCTCCCCTGGGTTCGCTGTTCAGTTTTGTGACCCTGGGCAAGTTTCTTTCCTCTAGACTCCCTTCTCCAGATCTTAGATGAGCCTTTGGTCAGCCAGTCTCTTACATCCCTTCTACCTCAAGAGCTTTAATGCTATGGGTGAGCGGAGGAAACCGCTGTTTGCGGGATACAGTGTGTCAGGATCTGTGAGACGCAGTCCCAGTGCTGCAGATTGGAACCACATTCTCCCGTGATGCTCTGCAGCGTGCTTCCTTCTGTAGGTGTCGACAGCGATGGCTGAGGAGATCAGGCGCCTCTCTGTGCTGGTGGATGAGTACCAGATGGACTTCCACCCTTCTCCAGTAGTCCTCAAGGTTTACAAGAACGTGAGTCCTTAAGCAGCAGGCGCTCTGTGCGGGGCCCACCTTCGTTCCCTGTGGCTACTGAGTGGCGTCAACAGGCAGTGATTCAGCTCCTGCTGGTCTGTGTCAGGGCCCCTCGGCCAGGAAGATGAGACCCAGGCCTCACTCAGCTTTCCATGGTCACCTGGTGGGCATGGGCCGGCCAGCCTCAGGTCTCCTTGTCCTTGGCTTCCCAGAAGGGACTCCTGATGGGGGGTGCTGCTTCTCTCAGCTCTGTCATTTGGTTGCAGGAACTGCACCGCCATATAGAGGAAGGACTGGGCCGAAATATGTCCGACCGCTGCTCCACAGCCATCACCAGCTCTCTGCAAACCATGCAGCAGGAGATGATAGGTCAGCGCCGCAGGGGAACTTGGGACCTGGGCTCTCGGCTGCTCAGAGCTCAGCTTCAGAGGCCAGGCTACAGAAATAATGACCTTTTCTTATCTTTGACTCTTACAATGAGTCAGCTTGATAACCTTCAAGCTCTAGGTGTACGTCATGAGTTCATTCCACACCTAGGCTCCGGAGCTGTCCTGTGTTACCACAGGACTGTCACAGGCTGAGAGTTTGGCCTGCTCCTTAATCCACATGAGCTATAAATGTTAGCAGGGATGGAACCTGGGTCTGCTTACCTGGGAGAGCCGGCCTGCTGCCTCGACCGCGGCTGCTCCCTGCCCCACAGTCCACTTGTTTGGTTTCGAGGCAGAGCCATCAGCGTCCCTGGCCGTAGCTGGCTTGGCCTTGCTGTGAGGCTTGGCACTGGCGTGGCACGTGGCGGAGCTCATGGACTTTCTCATTTCTCTTCCTGACAGACGGCTTGAAACCCCTCCTTCCGGCGTCTGTGCGGAGTCAGATGGACGTGCTGGTCCCTCGGCAGTGCTTCTCCCTTAGCTACGACCTGAACTGTGACAAGTTGTGTGCTGACTTTCAGGAGGACATTGAGTTCCATTTTTCTCTCGGGTGGACCATGCTGGTCAATAGGTTCCTGGGCCCCAAGAATAGCCGCCGGGCCTTGATGGGCTACAATGACCAGGCAAGCAAAGTCCCTCACCTGTGGGCAGCGCAGAGGTTAGTCTGCGCCCTGCCTCCAGACACACGAACTGTTCTGGAAGGGATTCCCTGAGGTCAACAGCTGGGGCACGTGTGCCACCCACAGTATACCACGGTCAAAGTTTCTGCCACAAATCAACCTAGCTTTATCCTAAGCACTAATATTAGTGAAATTATAAACACTAGCTGTATTTTTTTGTAACACATTAAAGTAACTGTTAGTACTATTAAATTACATTAAAGTAAGTGCTATGAAGTAACTGTCATGATATGTAACTACCAAACGTAGATGGCCTATAAAACATCTACCTACAGGCCGCTGTTTTAACGTTTAGATTATACAGCACCTGGCTGTTTACTACTTGAATTATTGCTCATACTGTTCCTGGTACATATCCCACGCTTTGGGGAATTATGCTGAAGCATTCCACGGTGGCCGCTGTCACATGATGGCCACCTTTGAGCTGGCAGGTCATTATGAAACTTAAATCCTCTGCAACTTGTGAAGCTCATTTTCTCTTTTGTCTTTTGGAAAATGAAGAGCCACCTCTGTCCCTGATCCAGACCCCTTAGCCTCGAGGGTCGCTGAGGGTTTCATTGAATGAGCCCCATTCTTCTTACCCTTCTCCTCATTTATCTCCTCAGGTTCAGCGTCCTGTCCCTCTGACACCAGCCAACCCCAGCATGCCACCCCTGCCTCAGGGCTCCCTCACCCAAGAAGAACTCATGGTTTCCATGGTCACTGGCCTGGCCTCCCTGACGTCTAGGACCTCCATGGGCATTCTCGTTGTTGGAGGAGTGGTCAGTGACAAGCCTGGCTTGGGCGGGGGTTGGGGAGGACAGGTGGGTGGGGACTGGGGCACAGCTCTGGGGATCGTCCCTATGTCGCTCCAGCATTTCTCAATGCGCACAGCATTTGCAGCCTTAGCCATTTGACGTATTTATTGACTTAAATCTTGCTCAACTAACATGACATTTAGATAGCACCATTTCCAGGTGAGGAAAGTCTGTAGTTGGCTGGCAAAGATTCATACAGAGGATTTGAGCTCTTGCCCCATTTGACTCCAAGGCCATGTGCTTTCCCCTGTAGGGCCTATACTACATGTTGGGTAGGGAAGTGACCTGAGAAATTGACAAACTTGGCTTCTAGAGAGGTGAACGTGAACCAGGAGTAAAACTTTTAATGGTTTAAGACAAAAGAGGGCAGGCTGGGGCCTTGAACCCTTGTCTCTCCATCTCTTGGTTTTATGGCCTTTTCTACCCTAGGCCTTGAAATTACAGACTGTCTTGATAACTAGAGTGTTTCCCATGTCCTGACCTAAAATAGATTGCAGCCAGAATAATTTATACCTTGAATTTTCTTGATGATGTGGGCAAATTCTGTCATGGACGTTTGACTTATAGAGCGCTGACAGACTGTAACTGTGACCAGACCGTCAGGTCCTGCATTCTCAGCCTGTGAGACTCGGCAGAGACAGCCGAGGCCCCTCTTTCTCCCTGCCTGCAGAAGGTTCTTTCATAGAAGTGACGTGGCAGAGGGTCACTGACTGAAATGCTGACAGTTGACGATTATGTAACCTTTTTACAATATCTCACTTTACCTAAACCTTATGAATTGCGTGGAAACTGTTATGCTGGGTTTGTGAGGAAGTAGATGTACAGAAACTCATCCAAGGTCACACAGCCACGATGGCAGGCAGTACTAGAACCTCGATTTCTGTCTCCAAGTCCAGGGCTGTTTGAATGTAGCCACACTGCCTTGAAGTAAAATATTACAAACCAGACCAAAAGAAGCCGTCTGCTGAGGACCAGTGTATAGGATTCACCTTCTCAGTGTCATCAGTGCATTTATCTTGAGGAAGTCTGTGCCTGGACCTGTGTTTTTGGCCCTGATACCCCCATCTCCCACTTCTCACAAGCAGCGTGCACAAACACTAGTGGAAACATTAAATT